AGACAAAGATTAGACTGGACTATAGGACATAAAATGATACTCAGAAGACTGTGCTTCTTAGCTCAAATAGATACAGGAGACTAAATGGGCAGCTCCTGTCCAGAGGTGACATGAGAAGGGAGACAGGGTCAGAAGCTGGCTGAATGGACACATGAAATCCGAGATGGAAAGAAGTGTGCTGTCACAGTATAGGGAGAGCAATTAGGGTCAAACAACAATGCATAAAGTTTTGTATGAGAGACTAACTTGAATTGTAAACTTTCACTTAAAGTACAACTATAAAAAAAAGGAAATTAAAATAAAGGCCGTACGTGCACTTAGGTCCATCCAGAAACAGGTAACATGAATGGTGGCTGTAATTTGCTTTAAAACATCCCAGGAAAAATAAAATTGGAGAGCGTGGCGAGAGGAAGGCGAAGGCAGGACGCTGGCAGCTGCTGAAGGTGCCATCGCGGCTCAGACACTTGTTCGTATATTTAAAATACTCGGAAGGGGAAGTTTCTGTTGGTTTGAATCCGGAGGAGGATTCAGCCCCATTCCTGGGCCCGTCCGTCACAGGCTTCCCAGAACTTCCAGCTAATCCCGAGTACTGACCCACCTGCTTTTCTAACTTCAGACAGCAAACCGACGGAACCTCGCCAGGTTCTGACTTTCTGCGGGCACTCGGCAGTGGGTGCCACCGAGGCCCCGGGGTGCTCAGTGGAACGCAGCCAAGCCCGAGGGACCTGAGAAGGACTGGCCGCCTCCATCTGCAGGAGACGGACCCGTGCGGGTGGCTCCAAGCCCCCTCTGGGCCCGGCAGGCCCAACCTCCGCGAGGCGGTGGCCCACGAGGGCTGGCGCCCGCTGTCGGGCGGCCTGAGAAATGGGGGCTTGCCGCCCACGAGCCCCGCAACGCCAGTGCGGGTGGGGGGACGGGTCCTGTGAGGGCCCAGGAAGCTGCCCTCAGAAGGGGCGCCCTGACGGAGGGCGGGTGCTGCCCAGCAGGCAGGGGTCAGGCGGGGAGGGGAAGGGGCCATCTGTCGGGCTTCATTTGCAGTTAGATCTTCGAGACCAGCGCGCACCAGTCCTGACAAAAGCGCAGAGGCTTATCCTTGTCTATTGAGCTCCTAAAAATCCACGCCTCCCGCCCCTCCGCGTCTCCTGACAATGCTGAGCAGCCTCTGAGGACGGCCCGCTCGGCGGGGCCACCAGGCAAGGGACGGCACGCTGGGCGGGGCCTCCAGGCCGGGGGCGGCTCGCTGGGCGGGGCCTCCAGGCCGACG